TCTTGTATCAGGTGCCACTAATGCAAACAGATTTTGCAGCACAATTGTCATTTTGCTGACCTGAGTGGGGTATCTGGAATGAGGCTGAGATGCCATAGGCTGGACGAGAAGTCGCTCTGATTCAGAAAGCCAACATTCTGACTGCTGAGAGGCCCAATTCCTTTTCTTTCTTTCTTTCTTTTTTTTTTTGGGGGGGGGGTAAATTATTACAATTTCTAAATGGATTCATTTAAATCTCCCAGGCTTTCCATTTTGCATTTACCTCATTCTTAAGATCCTTTCGTTGGGAAAAAGTGAAGCTTTAATCATTAACAAATAGATGTTGAGCGTTTAATGTTTTAACTAACTTCTGGACTGGATGTTTCCCTGACAGTCTCTTCATTCTCACATAAAGCGTGGAGGACAGCTGCTCACATTTCCAGCTTCCCATGTCCCTCCAATTCATGGCCAATCTCATTTTAAGGCATCACAGATGACCATAGAGAGACTACTTTCTGGCAATTTCCATCATACAACCACAAGTCCATTAGGGTTCTCCATTACGTCCTAACACAACAGCCTTAAAAATAAATGCATAATAGAGATTTAGGTTTTGGAAATATTAAACACATAGGTTTCACCCCTCCCCTCCCGTTTTAGGATTGTAATTATAGATGGAGAAACATCTAAATTTATATTCAGAAAACCAGCTAACTCCAGGAAACACTCCAGCCTTAACATTACAGATGCCAAAACTCATCTGTATTCACTTTATTATTTGATTTAAAAGTTTTTAGGTTTTCAGAAAATAGTAGTATCTTCCACGTGGCTTATTTTTAATAGGTACAATGAACGAAAAATGTCAGCTAAATCTAGTTGGCCAACATATTTGTACTTCTATTTTAACAGTCAATAAAAAGTCTATGATTGTTTGCATATGGGTTGAGTCCCTTCTCTGCGCGCCCAGGTGTCATGAAAGTCAGAGTGTTCTAAAAGCAGCCTGTCCTTTCCATTCTTTCTAGAATCAAGGGTCTTATGCAGTGAAAGAGTTTTAGACTTCAGAGTTCAATTCAGCAAGAGCCTCTAGGATTCTGAACAATTTCTGACGATTTCCCGAGCCTGCTGGATGTGTTTCCATCAAAGTACTGGGGGGTCAGGTGAGCTGGGGCGAGTCTCTTCTCCAAGTGGAGAGGAGTAGGTAGCACAGAAAGGACCGTGTAAGCAACTGTTCTACTGTTTTGTTTTTTAAGTGTTGCAAAGGCATTTTCACATTTCAACATTTTTTGGTCTCTAAAATAAATATATTATTCATAGTGAGATCTAATTTAGTGAAGGGGTGAAATTTAAAACTGGATTTGAATAACGCCCTTTATCATTAGTCCATCATTTCCTACACCCCAACTTCATACACTTAAAACAGTTTAAAAATACATGCACACTGGACCTTACCTCTAACCCCTCTACTTCAAGCTCATCTCATATTTGCAAACCTCAATTACTTCCTGCTCACCAAACAGATCTGCGTATGTGAGCTTCCCCTTGTTCGGGGAGTCACATCTACATATACATCAGACAGTAAAGGACACACATCCAGAACTATAATGAAAAGACAGGACCTTCCTGAGCTAAGAAAAATTATTTTTAAAAATGATTTTGACAATTCTTTAAGCCTACAGAGGTTGCTGTCAACAAATATTTACACATATACACAGATAGCAGGTGATTCCTTATTAAAGAAAGATTTTCTCTACATTGTGGAAACATTTCAACCTACAATCTATTAAATTTTATGAGAAAAAAACCCAGCCTGTGTCTCTTGGTTTACAGCTTGCTTTTCTGCTTCTCTCTAGGATATCAAAACTCCTGGAGAGGCCTGGGCAGTGGAGCCTGGCATTTCCCAGGCATTTATGTTGGCACATGGTGGACCCAGAACTGGTGCCAAGTTGTAGAATCTTTGCCCAATGACAAAACCATTGTTTCCAGATACTGAAAACAAGCCAATCCAGTACAAACCTTTCCCTGACCTATGACTGGCCCTGTATGCAATGGGCTTGCTTGTATAATTCGATAAGATAATATCGATAAGAAATCATTCTCTGAAGTATTTTGATCAACACAGTCACTGGCACTACTCTGACAGTATAAAATCCTGTTCTCCAGGACTACTCTCTGACTCCTGATGGCTGCTTACCTTTTACATTCCTTTGAAGAAGCATGTTCTTACTGCTTAAGAATCTGAAAAATCTACTAGTCAATGTTATGGGATAACCACTGTGGCAGGTGGAAAAATCAACATTTATGGTATCTGGGCATAACAATTTAGTCTAATATCATCCACTTCATTTGTTTTTAACATAGAAACAGGGCAGAGGAAAGAAAAGAGGGGGAAAAGCACTTAATATACATAGGAAATATTTTCTAATAATCTATTAAAACTAACTTAGCAATGCAGAAAAATCACTGTTATAATATCTATCTACTAATAAGACAGAAAAATGACACTAAATGCACATTACATAAAAGAAAAAACTGATAAATTAATCAGATCAAATTTAAAAGTTTTTGTGTTTCAAACTCATTAATAAGAAAATGAAGGCCTTATTCCACAGACTGGAAGAAAATATTTTGTAAACACATTTCTGATAATGATTTTATCCAGAATATGCAACAAATTCTCGTCACTCAATAGAAAGAAGACAAACAATCCAATAAAATAATGTACATAAACAAACAATCCAATAAAATAATGTAATCTGAAGGTATTCAGATTGTTAGTAAGTACACAAAATCTGCTCAACCCCATTTGTCATTAAAAACCACAACAAGCTAGCATTTCACCTGTTAGAGTAACTATTACAAGAGATAAAGCAATTACAGGAGGGAGAGGAGGTAGACAAGCAGTAATCCCTGTTCCCTGGGGGAGAGGAGTATAAAACAGTGCAGCCACTTTGGAAAACATTTAGGCAGTTTCCTAAAAAGATAAACATAAATTTATTCTATGAGCTAGCAGTTTTGTGCCTAGGTATTTCTCCACGAGAAATGAAAACATGTCTGTGTAAAGACTTGCACAAAAATGTTCCAAGTAGTCCTATCAACAATAGCCAAAAACTGGAGAAAACCGAAATGGCCATCAATTAGTGAATGCATAGATAAAATGTATACACAGTGAAATACTGTTTATATTAAAAAGGAACAAATTTCAGATACATGCTACATCTTAGATTAACATCAAAAACATTACGCTAAGTGAAAGAAGCCAGATAAGAGACCACATACTGTATGAGATGCTCCCAAAAGGTGAACCTATAACCAGGAGACTAGTGGGCACCTGGGACTTGGGGGCAGAAGTGAAATTAACATTAAATGGTCATGAGGCATCTCGTTGGGATGGTGTACATCTTCTAAACTTATGTATGGGGAAGGTTGTATAATTTTATTAAATATTACTGAATTGCACAATTAAAACAAGCGAATTTTGTGATATGTAAAATGTGGCTCAATATACTCGCTTTAAAACAAGATAATGTTCTCAGAGAGACTGCCACCTCAGGCCACTGAACTAAGGTGGCAACTGGAACCACTTTGGCCAGTGTTGGGACCCGACAGTGGCTTATGCGCTCCGTAAAGTGGAACACTTTAAGTAAATTATCCACTGTCTACAGTTACTAGGTAACTATATAAACAGGTATTTTAAGGCCCTTCCTAGTGGCGCAATAGATCAGGATGCAGCACTGTAAGCAAGCCACAGCCACTTTAGTGAGAGTTTGATCCCTGGCCCAGGAGCTGACTGACACGGTGCAGCAGACCTCTCCCGCCTGCTGTCCCCTCAGCAGTGTACTTCGTCCATCTGCCTGTTCTGCTCCCCACTCTGTCTCTGGTGAGCCTGTTCTGCTCCCCACTCTGTCTCTGGTGAAGCCTCTCACCACCCCTGTACCTCTGACCTGTACCCCAGTTCTGTATGCATATTTTTTTTAAATAAAAAACAGGTACTTTAGACAAATGATCTAGTTATGTTGTCTAAGACTGCTATTTCTAAACCAAAGACAAGGCAAAATTCTCTAGACAAGAGCCTAAATACGCTTTCTGTACTTTCTAGCTCAGTAAATCTTTACATGCAGGTATCCACACAACCACACTCAGATCCAGATGCAAATGCTCCCTTCTTTACCCAATATTCCCCAAGGGCAACCATTCCTGTATTCTAACAACACTGAAGTACCCTAGTTTTGTCTGTTTTTCTGAACGCTTTATAAATATACAAGCTGCACAGAGCGTGCATGCTTTTGAGCCTGACTTCTTTTGCTCAACAGCACCTCTGTGAAATGCACCTGATGCTGTTGATAGCAGCAGCACATTGTGTCAGTGTGCAGACACATGACTTATTCACTTCTGCTGCTATGACTTATTCACTTCTACTGCTAACTGGCATTTGGATGATTTTCAGCTTTGGGGTAGTATGAATAAAACTGCTATGAACATGCTCGTAGTTGTCTTTTGGTGAACATAATGACAGGTTTTCAATTCAGGAGTGGAACTGCTAGATTTGAGGTAACATCCATATATTGCCTTATTACATGCTTTATAGATCTTGCCAAGCAGAATTAAAACAACAGTCCAGGCTTCCAGTCATTTAGCCTTCCATATCATCCCATTATGACCAAGACTTCTAGTGATGGTTGAGTTGTTCCTTAGACATTAGGGAACTGGTAATTGTTCTCTTTTAATACAGCCTAATATAGCCAAATACTGTGAAAATACTGAACTCCTGGAATGAGGGAATGGAATTCTTGCTTAACTTCCAGTCTAGTCACAATGGAGGATGATTTCTGATAATAAGAATTATACTGAAATATGTTTAATACAGATTTTTTAAATTTAAGTTTTTTATCTAAACACAAAAGAACGCTTAAGTCAAAGATGATGAATGGAAAATTTAAATACTGAGACAGCAGAATTTATTATCACTTAAAGATATACATGCACAAACTAAATGGTCATTAAAAAAGAAAACAATACCTTACCTGCTACTGAATTTGGCCGTGGCATAAGATACAGAGGAATAGACTGTACTGATTGTGACAGAACCGTTTCCAGATTCCTTTCTGGGATCTTGTTCAGACTATAGGTGGAAGCCGTCATGTTTTCATCCACGCGATATAAGCAAGAATCCATGCTAGACTTTTGCGACTGCCAAGGCTTCAGGTTTCCTCCAGATCCTAATTCTTTGCTGCTCTCTCCAACGTATTTCGTGCGTTCCATGTTTTCAGAATAGCTTGTCAACGTAGCTGGGAAACATAAAATGGTAAACTGGATTTAAAAAAAACACCCTAGAGATTAATCTCTTTATTCCAAATTCATGACTAGAGGAGAATATCTAAAACATTATTTTTAAAGTTCCTGATTGTTTCATCTATATCATGAAGCACAAATAATTGAAACCAATATAAAACCATCTCTCATATAATTTTCCTCTTATCTCTGTCATATGTTTCCTTTAACAACTAAACATTCACACGTCAGAGCTATAGGACCAATAACGAGGGCCTCTCAGTGCTAAGAATTTCAGAATCTTATCAGAAAGGAAATTTATATAGTTTTCATGGGTTCCTGGACCCTCCCACCATGCCCCCACCCTGGGCTCCAAAAAGATGTTTATACCCTTTTTATCCTATATTTTCCCTCATTTATTTCCTGGTCCTTTATTTGTAACAAAGAATTACAATAAAATAAGTTGTCAGTAATTAGAAGATGATGTGGGGAAAGAAGCTGTCCAGGTAAGGAAACAACACAGGTCTTGCACAGCTCTTCTCTGGAGCTCTAATCCTACACTTGAGTCCCTCACTGAAAGCAAACAAAAACTAAAAGGGCTTCTGGAATTTTATCTGTTCTTAACCACTAATTATAAACAAGAATATTCTCAACAACTTGAGAAATGGAAAGATTATAAATATCAAAATCTAGATGATAAAATCTTAGCAATAATTATAAAGCAAGAATAAAAGATGTCACCTCAGGAAAGTTGTTACATTATAATTCATACTCTCTTTTTATATTTTAAATGTACTTAGTTGTTTAAAGAGTGAGAGAGAGAGAGAGAGACCCAAGTAAATGAGGTAATATCTGTGATCTTTTCTACTGGAATTTTTCTTTGGAGACTTAATGTGGTCCGGGACTTTGTAGTAAGTAATAAGGGAAGAAAATGGATTACAAAGAAGATCTAAATTTTTCTTTAAGAAAGAAAATATGACTTTTCTGTCATCAAAGAATAAAAGGTATAGAAAAAGAAACCTAGGTGAATGAGGAAAAGGTGGACACAAGTGGAAATAGGACATTCCATAAAGGTCATCCTCAATAAACAAAGAGCAGGGCATATTTGGCACCTAACTTGAGGCTGGCCAACAGAAATATCACAGACCTTGAAAATCATGCATGTTTGGAAGCTCCAACCCCACTTATATTACTCTCCACTTCCCTCAGTGATCAGTCACACAAACCTGATGACAGCGCCCCCACGTGCCTGGGGGAGACAGTGAACAGAAAGAAAGCAAAATGATACTTGTAGATTCTGAGCAGTCTGTGGAGGCACCACACTGATGGTGAAGTAGGAACGGCACATCTGAGACCAGGAAGGAAGCCAGTTTCGTAGATTCGGAAACTAGTTAGAAAGAGAACAGTTGCTGTGAAGCAACTCCAGGGGCTTAGCAGCCACAGTCCAAAGGGTCTGACAACTGGTAAAGAAATAGCTCCCTAGGAAGACTTAGTGATTAACTAAGACGTTCCGCTTTCATTAACAGATGAGCTTTAAAAATGTGAGTCATCATAATACAAATTCTAACAGGTACTAAGCACTTGGTAACTTTTAAACTGCATAAATGCATTTGATTGTTACCACAACACTGAATTAAGCGGGGCTGGTGTGACCATCGCTGCTGCACAGAGTGGAAATGGCCTCTGATTCACACTCGCTTTTTCATTACAACTAATCTATCTCTATTACTTTTTTTTTTAAAGATTTATTTATTTATGCATACAGAACTGGGGTACAGGCTAGAGGTACAGGGGCGGTGAGAGAATTCACCACAGAGTGGGGAGCAGAACAGGCCGATCAACGAAGTACACTGCCGAGGGGAGCGCCATGTAGGTCAGCTCTGGGGCAGGTGGGGTTTGAACTCAGGCTGAAGTGGGTTTAGCTTCTTAAGTGCTGTGTTTAACCAACTGCGCCACGAGGAGGGCCCTCTATTACTTTTTTTTAGTTGAGGTAACATTGGTTTATAACTCTGTATATGATTCATGGTATATTTCCAATTATTTCCAGATGAAACAAAGACTAGTGAAAAAAATGAATCTCAAGTAACTTCAGAGATTTTTCTGATATAAAGAAATCACTACCACAGGATGAAGAATCACTTGCATGAAACATCTGCTTATATTGCCACACAGGCCAAGAGACAACGTGAAGGGGAGGAATTACAGCCTTGTGAACAGGCTGTGTGAATAAAATTAGCAGCCTTTATTTTAAAATAGTTTAATGAGGCATAACTTACATACCATAAATATGCCCACTATAAACATATAACTCACTGATTTTAGTTAAGGTTATTGATCACTGCAGTCATCAGTACAATTCAGCTTAGGGCATTTCCAGAGCTCCCAAATGTTCCCTCGTGCCTGTTTGCACTTCACCTCTGCTCTCATCCCGGTCCTAGGCAATACAATTGCTTTCTGTCTCTGCAAATTCACCTTTTCAGCAATTTCATGTAAACAGAGCCATACAATATGTGGTCTTTATGTCTGGCTTCTTTCACTTAGATTAATGTTTTGGGGGTCCAATCATTATGTAGCATTTATTAATAGTCTGTTCCTTTTTATTGCTGGATAATATATTCCACTGTATGGCTAGTGCACGTTTTACATATCCACTAACCAACTGATGGCTATTTGGATTGTTTCCAGCTCTTGGCTATTATGAATAATGCCGCTTTGTTTGGACATATGTTTTCATTTCTCTTGAATTGATTCCTAAGAGTAGAATTGTTAGGTCACATGGTGCGTTTATGCTTAATTTGTAAGAAAATGCCAAACTGTTTTCCAAAGTGGCTGGAACACTTTACACTCCCACAGGTAATATACCAAGATTTTTTTTTTCCACAACTTTGCCAACATTTGGTGTTTTTTTTGTTGTTGTTTGTTTTTTTTTTGGTAAGAGCCCATTCTAGTTGGTATGCAGTATCTCATTTTGGTTTCAAGTTACACTCACTGGTTTAATGACTAATGCCATGAGCACCTTTCTGCAGGTTTAGTGGGCATTCACGTATCTTGTTTGGTGAAGTGTCTATCTAAATCTCTTGCATGTTTTAAAATTGGTTTGCCTTCTATAATAGTTTAAAAACTAATAGTAATAATTTTTATCTTTATTAACTACTGTAGTTGACAAAGATAATAACCCCCCACCCCCGATAACAGTCTGAGGCCATCTGTCCTGAGAGAGAATTATTTGAGCACTATGTATATACTGTTTTGTAATAATTAGGACCACGGGTTTTAAAATCACACAGACCTGAGCTTTAGCCTCAGCTTGGCTCTTACAATCTATGTGACTTGGGACCAATTATTTTTGAGTCTTAGTTTTCTAAGTCTAGGCAAGATGATGATACTATTATGTAAGACAGAGTTATTTTACAGCTAGACTGGGCCAACCCTAAGCTCATCTCTTGGGATGCCTAGAAGTCTGGTACTGACTCTTAGCCAAGAGAAGGTCAACTGGGATAACTAATGATTTATAATTCACTGCTTGAAACTCCCCTGGCAGTACCCTGGATTAGCTGTTTATTACCAGCTTACACCTGGAAGACTGGGTTAGTTTGCTGGGGTGGCTCCGTGAACAGAGGGGCCCCAAATTCTTGAATGTAAACTTTTGGGGAGCTCCCCTGAAAGCAACGCGCAATTCTTGGTGGTATACCCCAGCCCAGACGACTACGAGGACCGGGAGTGGAGCTGAGGTGCCGGCGTGGTCTGTGCTCAGCCAGTGTTCTCCGTGGCCCGCCGTGCTTTGCTTCAGGTTCGTCACCTTCCAAGCCTTCATTTACTTCCACTTAACTGATTCCCCTTCACAAGTATACAGAGACAGTAAGTATGTGAAGAACTGAGAACCTCCACACAACTCTGCTAGTTCCGTGAGGAATAAGCTGCTTTTGAATCACTTCCACTGACAGATGATGTCTGTGCATTTACAAGAGGAAGCAGACAGAATTTTTTCTACCCACCCCTCTGATCTGGTAAGATCCTTAGCAGGCAGTGAGCAGAGAGGGGTGCCTTTCGTTTTGCTTAGTCTTATTTCTCTCTCCCAGCATCTTAACAAGAGAAGGAGTAAGTTTTATGTCTGCATCTCAGTAACTCAAAGCAGACATTCTGAAAGCCTTCGGTTGGTGTAATTAACTAAAAAGGAACAAAAAACGACAAAGTGGTTACACATCAACCAACTCACCGATAATGCCACTATCTCTGCTTTCGAGGGTGGAGGTTGGACTGGTGACGGCCCCATAGCTGCCGTCCTTGGCAGGTGCCCCTGTGCTGACAGGCGGGAGGGTGGAGCAGGGGCTGCCGGCTGCGGGCGAGGCGGTGCTGCTCGTGAGGGTGGAGCACGGGCTGATGCGCTGCGTGATGGCTGCGGTCTGGAACGAGGGAGTGAAGCCAAGTAAGGGGCGCTGGTCAGTGTTAGCGTGGACTATCTCATAGTAAGTTTTTTGTTTTGGTTTTTGAGAAAAAGAAGAAACTAACACACATCTTTTATAGCTATTTGGCTCTATTTGTCTTGCTTTCTAGGATAAGCAAATTAAGGTGAAACCTGAGAATTTCTTTTTTTGTTATGATATTCCGCTAAGATCATGGTTTTTTATAAGAGGTGATGTAAATTTTCTGATGACTAATTAATCAATTTTTTTTTTAAGATTTATTTATTTGTGCATACAGAACTGGGGTACAGGCCAGAGGCTCACGGGCAGCGAGAGGCTTCACCAGAGACAGAGTGGGGAACAGAACAGGCAGATCAACGAAGTACACTGCTGAGGGGAGCAGCGGGCGGGTCAGGAGAGGTCTGCCACGCCATGTGGTCTCCTCCGAGGCAGGCGGGAATCGAACTCATGCGGAAGAGGCTTTAGATTCTCAGTGCTGTGCTTTAACCCGCTGCGCCACCGGGGAGGGCCTTAATCAATTTTTAAAAATTCAAATTTTTAGGTTTGCAATTTCAGTATTTTGGGGGAGGGGAAGGCTTTCCTTTTAATTTAAAATTTTAAGTATTTTATATTGTTGTTCATTTTTTTGTACAATACTTGACTCGCCCCCTTGGAGGTGGTCCCTATGATTCTCCCTCCACCATGTCACCTGTGCTCATGTTCCCCTGTGCTTTGGGGCCCTCCACCACCCCTGCTGTGTGCCTCAGACCTATGGTGAGCTTACCAGTGTTGTCTTTTTCCTGACCCTTTGTTTTGTTTCCCTATATTCCTCCTATAAGTGCAACCATCTGATATTTTTCTCTCTGACTTACTTCACTTAGCATAGTCCCTTTCAGCTTCATCCAAGTTGTTGCAAAGGACAGGAGTTTATCTTTTTTGATCTCTGGGTAGTATTCCACTGTGTATGTATAACCACAACGTCTTGATCCATTCATAGGTTTTTGGCATTTAGGTTGTTTCCATATCTTGGTTATTGTAAATAGTGCTGCAATTAGCATAGATTTCCTTTGGGTAGATTCCTAGGAGTGGACTTGCTGACCTGTATGGTATTTTTAGCATTTCAAAGGTCCTCCACATAGCTTTTTCTAGTTGTTGGGCCAGTTTGCATTCCCAACAGCAAGCAAGAGGGTTCCTTTTTTCCAGATTCTCGCCAGCATTTCAAATCTGATAAATTTAATATGATCAGAAACTAGGGCTAGTTTTTCTGGTCAGAAATTTCTGGTGTCAAGTACTTTATCATTGCCATACATTAAAAGAGGAATTTTTAAAAATTGAGTTCAATTTTTCACTGCTATTTTTATTGAAAGGAATTAATAATCACCAGAAAGTTTGGTGGTAATACTCAGGTTTATCAAATTTAATGATAATTCATTTTTCTTTGACTCTAACCAAATCACTGAAATAATAAATAAAAATATATACTTTTCAAACACTAAAGAAATTTTATTCCTTTCGAAAGGGAAATGATCAGTGACAAAATTACTTGAAGGAACACTAATGAAAATTTGACATAGTTAAAAGAAACCTTTCAATTTCTTTACATAGAGACTCTAACCATATTCTCTTTGCAAAAACTGAAGGTTTATATTCAATAACTGTGCTGGAAAATATGGTGATCACCAGATATGAGGATATTAAGGCTCTTTGACTCATCATAAAATGATTCCCAAAATTGCACTTCCTTATATTTAACCAACTGTGTTAAATCCAAGTTTTGATTTTGATTTAAATGTTGTTGCTGGGTCATAAAAGACACAGCTGACTCAGCCAAACACAAGTGACATTCTCAAAATCCTGGAAATTAATTTTTCAATTCTATCAATAATATTAGGAGCTGGTTTAAAAAAAATAATATAAGCCTTCAACCCTTACACAGTCTGTCCTGTACAATTATGCTTGAGGGAAGAGTTTCGATGTCTTTGTAACTGATCTATTTTTATAAAATGATAACTAACTGGTCTCTGAGAGGATTAGTTTTTATTTGTGCATGCAACAGAATCACCTACCAAAGAGGCTTCTTGACAGGGTAGACTGATAGTGAGCCCCACGCCAGATTTACTGAATTGAAATCCACTCACTAGGATTTCACATGGCCAGCTTTAATCTTCTCATTTTCAGTTTAAGAAATATTTAGGTAGATGAAATGAATTGTACCAGGATCTCTCACATTAGACATTTCACATACAGTCACCCCATATTGAAAGTTTCATTTTTATATGAGACTTCTACACCAACTCATTTCTCTTCTTAGTCAAAGTTCTTAGTTTATTCTTTGAGAAGGTAAACTGTATTATAAGCATAAAATAGCCAATGTGGAAGTCAATGCCAAAGAACATTATTTTTTCTACAAGTTATTTTCTGCAAAATGAAGCATGTCATAGAATATATGTTTAAAAAACTAGCTGTAAAAGCTAACCTTAAAGGTCAAGCCATTTAAAAAGGAAAAAGTGCTCATGGTTTAGGAAATTATTTGATGTATGAAAGTGGTCTTATATTATTGAAGGTTAGTGAGATACAGAAATCTCTTCTAGACACACAAAAAAATAATCTATGCTCCATGTTGCAGCCTAAAATGGACATTTAATTAAGCCAGTCCACTTGCAAAAATTTTTCAGTGTTTTTTCGATGATCTTCAGTGTTCTTCAGAAGGATATAAAACATCCAATCTGAATCTCTTAATGGTTTCATGACTACAAAACAAAAGAACCTATTGACCAAAGTACAATTACATTCTAGAAAGCGAGCAATCAGTTGAACATCACTACTTTGTCACTATAGACTACAGACTTGTTGGTGGTGGGTCTGTCATCAAGAAGCCTCTCTGAGGACATTGCTGCTGTAGGGTTTTCCTAAATAAAGCATGCTCTCCTTTCAATATGTGCCCTCTAGAGCAGAAGTGACCATGTGAACATGACTTCCTAGTTCTTCATAATTTTCAATTATTTCAATAGAAGGTGCAATGATCAATTTAGCCATTTTTTTCCTGTAGTTCTAAGATAGTTTCATGGTATATTATATTCCAAGAAGACTATCACTTCGCTTCATTATTAACAGTTTACATTTATGTAGTGTTAGTTTAAAATGTATGTATAATTTCACTCCTTACAAACCAAATATGACAGGCATAAAAAATACCATTTCCCCCATTTAAGAAAATGAAATGGTCCTAAGTATGAAAGCTATGAGGCAATTTCCCCTAAAAATTTGTTTTGTGTTTATTACATACTAACTGTATCATGTATTTCTTTACATCTTTTATCTATATGACATCTTACAACTTACAAAGTGTTGTTATAGTCATGATTTAACTTATTCCTCACAATACTTCCACTAGGTATTACTGCTTCGTAATATACTGGAATAGTACAGCGTAGCTCTGGGAAAATATGTTGTAAAAGCTGGCCACCTGCATTTGAATTATTCTATTATTCTCTGGTAGAATGAATCATGTTTTTTTCCTATCTAAAACTTGTCATATAAGTGGATCCTACCACATTGGGTTAGAAGGAAACTTAAAGTAGTGCAAGTAAACATTTCATAAATGTAGTTTATTACCTATGAAAACCCTTAAGTTCAGAGAGATTAAGCCTGAATTTACAAAATAGTAGGTAGTAGAACCGTAATCAGAGTGCAAGTTTTCCACATCTTGGTTCAGTTGCTTTCTATAACACTGTATTGCTTTAATTACATCAATTTAGAGTCCACAGGACTATGGTAATGGCACACAGGTGAACTGGTTGTGGGAAATCCATGGGATTACAACTGAGAGGAAAATACGCACAAAATGAAGAATGATGTAAAAAATAAAAATAAATTTTAAAAAAGAAAAAATACATGAACTTAATGATAGCACTGATTTACTTATATAGTTCCATAAATGGCCAGTTAAGGCACACGCTGTAGCAAATGGCTTTATTCAGAAATCTCTGAATAAAGAGAGATGTTGACATGAGACATCTCAAAGACAATCAAGTATAAATGTCAGCATCTGAAGATTTCACAACTCTTCCCTCTCCTGGTGTGGCAGGTGGACTTACCCGTGTCTCACACAGTTGGCAGATTGGCTTACCTGATTTTCATCCTGTACTTCCATGTTGTACTGGTCACCTGGCTGAACTTCCGCGACTTTCTCTCCAAGGAGGAAACCCAGACGAGTCATGAGTGTATTTGCTGCCTCATCTACCGATGGAGGGGGGCCGAGTTCCTGTTCAGCGTCATCTATAAAAGAAGATGGTGAAACACATGAAAGTTTCAACATAAAATGGCCCAGCTGTACAATTATTCTTATATTCAGTTTGGTCATTTCCTTAGTTTTCACATTCTAAATCCAAAAGTACAAGGTCCTTGTCGGGAAGATTTTCCCATTTTTGAAGATTATAATTTATAAATAATCCACTCAAATTATCTTCAATTTATCTACTGGAACCACCTGAGTTTGAGATAAAATTTCTACAACTTGTTGAATAGAAGTAGCTTCCCATTTCATTGATAATTAACCTTCCAAAGGGTCCTGTCTTGGGATTCCTGGCCACAATCATCACATTCATTCAGGATTCTTACTTGTTTATCTTTCAGTTTGTGTAAATATATATACATATAAATTTTTGAAATCCCTTCAAACTTGCAAAAAGTTTTAAGAATAGCACAAAGAATATTATTTTCCTTAACCATGCAGAAGAATAAACATGCTGCCCCATCATCCTCAGATGGCATTTCCTATAAACAAGGATATTATCTTACATAAGCATCGTACCAGCAAAGAAACTAGGAAACTAACACTTTATATTATTATATTCCAGCCAGCCCCCATTTCGCTTTCACATTTGCCCCAGTATGACCTTTATAACAAAAGGAGTATGCAATGCATTTAGTCCTCAGTTCTCTTTTATCTTTTAAAATCTAGAACAGTTCCTCAATCTTTTCTAAAGTTTCACTACCTTTTTTATTTTTTCAAGGAGTAAGAATTTTTCAGTCATTCTTAGGACATGAGAAATATCTAAACCTACATATTTGTAAATGTAAAATTAACCGCATCACTCTTGTAAAATTACTGCAAAAATGCATAAACTGAATAAAATCATGAGGTAATATGTGGTAAATTCACATTAAAGGATACTGAATGAAACAACTGACCTATAATCTTTAAAAGGCCAAGAGGAGGATGTACCCAAATCCATGGAACAGGTGCTTCTGTGTTAGGGAGTTTTCTAGACTACCCTATGTATGGTTTTATCTATCTGTTCATCTGTATTATTTAAAAATGTCTTCTGCAATAAACCAGAAATGGTAAGTATAGTATTTCCCTGCGTTCTGTGAGCCATTTACAGCAAATTATCTAGGATTGGGCTATGAAAACTCCCAATTTGTACCCAAGTTAGAGAGAAGCACAGGAAACCTGAAAACTTACTACTTGTGAGTGGTATCTGACATAAAGGTAAGAGGAAAAATACCATTTGATTTCATTCATATGTGGGAGACAAAGCACATGAACAAACAGAATAAAATTCCTAGATTCTGACAACAGAATGTTGGTTACCAGAGAAGAGGGTAGGTTAAGGGAATGGAAACTAGACTATATGGAGATATAGAAACATAAAGGTGAAAAAAATTGTTAAAATTTATACCTAGCTAATATCTCACTTGAGCATTGTTGTGAAAGATATTTGAGACACATAGAAGCCAGAGTTTATCAACAAATCCCCACTAACGAAAATGATGAAGCATGTACTTCAAGAAGGAGCTAAAACCCAATTAGAGAATATAAATGCAAGGAAGAGAATTATCGAGTAATTGTAAACAATTGGTCCAGCATAAAAATAAACTGTACCGGCCCTCCCTAGTGGCACAGTGGGTTAAAGCACAGCACTAAGAAGCTAAAGCCACTTCCGCATGAGTTCGATTCCCGCCTGCCCCGGAGTGACCACATGGCATGGCAGACTTCTCCTGACCCGCCCACTGCTCCCCTCAGTAGTGTACTTCGCTGATCTGCCTGTTCTGCTCCCCACTCTGTCTCTGGTGAAGTCTTTTACCACCCCTGAGTCTCTGGCCTGTACCCCAGTTCTGTATGCACAAAAAAATAAAATCTTAAAATAAATAAACTGTACCTTCTAAAAAACCTATGATGAGATAGCACTACGCATATGCTATGCAGAATAACATATTTGAAATCACTGTAATAGATGAGTTTAACAGGAGAAAATGTGGATGGAACAATTTTCAGATTCAAATTTTATATTACCTAATATGTCAACACAAATACAGAATTCTAGAACAAAACTAATTTAATATAGCATATTTAAATTTTTCTTTGAAAGAGTGTTCTATGTTGATAATAATATTGGCAACAGTACTAGTGGTAATAGTAATGACCCACTTATTGAGATATTACTGTCTGGTACTTTTTTAAGTGTTTTATTTGTACAAAATTACTTAGTATTCACAGCAATACTTACCTGACAATAGTAGTGAGGCACACAAGGAAAAGTTCTTGTTTGCCCATGGCTAGTTTAGTGACGGACACAAAATGAATTCCAGGCTGTGTGGCTTCTTAAGTTTAAATTCTTAACCACCCCATCATTTTTGCCAAGAAACATGATTGGGTACAAATTGTTCATATGGCTCTTTCATTTATTTTTATCTAGAACAACATCTAATAGAATTATCTGATGGTACATAATACAGGAATGCATTCATTAATTCTTAATGAGTATGTTCAGCACTACCTTTTATTTAAGGACATACTATTTTTTTTAAGGAGCTGGTAGTCTCACAGGGGAAAATAGAATATAAGTAAAATCATTTGACTTAACCACAGTGTTAAACTGTGAGAAATATAATACTGGTGCAAAACAGGATGCTGTGAAAAAGCAAGTGTTGAACATTTCTGAACACAATAACCTTTATTTTTCTTGATACCAATTCTACCAGACTTGGTTTATACTTGAAAATACCTGCAAAAAGTGCCTTCTTGGTCAAAGTGTACAGGGCTAACTAATTATTAAAAATGTGCCAAGAAATGAATGTGTAAGAGCTAATGTACTGAAGCCCTAATCTCTATTCTTAACGTGGCAGGCCACACATAGTTTAGTTCCATATTCTTAATTCTCAGCATTTTCACACCAGGCTATTTACATTTTTCTTTATGATCTGTTAATTATAAACTGCTTGTTCTCATCTGTTTCAAGACACAGAAATTGGTACCACATTTAATCATATAAAGAAACCCACTATTTCTCCCTAACAAAGTCACAAAACCCATGATCAGCTTGTGGCCCAACTGCCAAAGCAAACCTGCATTTTCAATTTTTAGTTCTTAAACAACTACCTAATTTTTTCGCTTTTTTTCTGATAAATGTGGGAAAATGGGTGACTGCTAAAAGCAAAGGCTGCCATTTGTCACAGTAAATGCTGAAGCCAGCACAGGGATTCCACATTCCTCCAAATGAGTTCCTGATTGTGAGAATCACTGCCTACCGGTGATCAAGAGTAAAGCAACCACCACCAGCTCATCTCCATTCAGATAGGCTGATTTTACAGCATCCGCTACAACTGTTTGTTCCTTTAGGCATATTTGAGTAAGGAGAGGAAACAGACTAAACAAATGTTGAAACTAAGGGGAGGGTACATGGGAGATTCTTTGGGTATGTTTAAAACAGTACATAATCAAAGTTTATTTCAGGCTTTGCCATGTTTATTTGGATTTTGGAATGTTATGAGCAGAGGCATGAAATGGACCTGCACAGTCAGACTTGAGTTCTTGTGCACTGGGTTTCCACCAAAAGGAGTTTCTTTCTAGCAGATGCCACTTCAGCCAGGACCCCAGAATGAACACAACAAATCGGAGCATATCTTGCTCCCTGTACCTGCTCTGGCAGGTTCAAACAAGAGTCAGTCCAACCAACATGTGGAAATCCCTCAGTAAGAAATAAAGTGCTTATTCTTGTTGGGATTTGATTTAGGGTAGTTTGTTACATACATATAAGCATTTAATTTTTAGCTATTTAACTTGACTCAAATACAACTATGACTTAATTAGCAGACCACAGTGCAATCCTGGTGGTTTTTCTTACCATATATTTTCTGTTCAGTATGACCCTCTCGCAACTCATCTTCATGCTCACTCATTTCCAGTAGCCATCTTATTCCAGATTCTATTCTACATCTTACCCATCTATAGATATTCTCTATAGATATTAAGTATCTGTCCATGAATTTGGACAGCTATGTACACATGTGAAATCACCACCAAGTCAAAATATAGAACATTTCTATCTTCTCCAGGTTTTCCTGTGCTCCATTGGAGTCAAACCCTTTTTTAACCCCCACCCACAGATAATCACTGATCTTTCAGTTATCTTTGTTTATATTTTCTATAAATAGATTTACACAGTAAGTCTAGTGCCTGGTTTCTTTTGTTCAGCACAATTTTTCCCCAAACCCGTCCACATGCAGTGCTTTAATGGTTTGCTCTTTTTAAACTAGAGTTGTGTTCCTTTGTATGGATAAAAGAATTTGTTGTTCCCTGCTGATGAATACAGGGTAGTTTCCAGTGTTGGGCCATCATGTATAAAAAGGGTTGTGAAGATTCATATAAATATCTTTGTGTAGACATATACTTTTAGCTTTCCTTGAATAAATAGGTGAATAATGCCTGAATTATAAATTTAAAACTTTAGCTGAACTTTACATGAAATTGCCAGTTTCCACAGAGATTATTCATTACACTTCCACAAATAGTTCAGGTTGCTCTTTATTCTTACCAACACTTGTTACAGTCAGTTGTTTGATTTTAGCCAAATTAATAGGTGCACAATGGTATCTCAAAAGTTTTAATTTGAACTTCCCTAATTACTAATGATGGTGAGTACGTTTTCATGTATTTACTGGCCATTTTTATATCTTCTTTTATGAATGTCTCTTCAAATCTCCTGTACATTAAAAAAATCAATTATCTTCTTATTAACTAGCTATAAGAGCTTTTTATTTTGGATACAAGCCATTAGATATATGTAGGCTAATATTTTTTCCTATTCTATGGCTCACCTATTCCTTTTCTCAGTAGAAAAGGATATTTAGATATAAGTCCAATTTAAAACAACTCATGCTTCCTACCCAAGAAATCTTTTCTGACCCCAAGATCGCAAAGATTTGCTCTTGGTTCTAGGTCTACAGTACACTTTAAGTTCTCTTTTGTGTTTGGTATGAGGTGAGGGTTGATG